TGTTTAAATATTTGTTTAAAATATTTTGTATTTGTGAATTTAAAAGGTTAAGCAGCTAACCACTCAATTGAAGTATGTATAACCTATTTTATTTTATTATACAACACAATTTTTTTCACCCTTTCTCAAAACATTATTTTTAATAAAATAGTAATAATGAATAACAATTGGTTTTGTAAATTTCTTTTTCCTTTTCTTTTTTGTTTTTTAGTACATAAGAATTGAATATTATACCATAGACAATTTAAGTAGTTAGATATCATCAGTCCTTGTAGGAAGAGTCAATATGTATCAAATATTATGCTTTATATATTTATAAATTTCTATTTCTTTAAAGTAAGTATTAAGAAAGTTTAAATCCAGGCAATAACATGAAACCTAAAGAACTTATAATTGAAAAGAATATAAAAGGATTAAGAAGAAAATTGTAATGTATATAAAGATGCGTTTATTTATAATTGCATAATTCAGCCTCAAATGGCCAAATGTTGCACTACATTTTGACTACTTCTGCAAACTCTGCTTTTCAAAAATATCAAATTTCACATTGAAATCTTTAATAATCATTTGTTTGAGTGTATGTAAAGCTAAGCCAACTTAAAGAATTAGAATATAATTCACATAGATCAATGTGAAATAAGAATTCTGAAAGTAAGTTTGCAAATACATTAATGACAAGTTTCATCTTGTCCAGTAATCATATAACAACCTTAAACATTATCAGTCTACAAAGTTATACTAAAGTTTGCTTACATAAAAGTATTTAGATACAGCTGTCATAACAATATCAGCATAGTATCATGCATTCATACAAACGATGCATGTAATATGTACATCATTCTATGATTAAAAATTCATTATTTTCACGCTGCATTCATACCACGCAAAGATTTTTGTGTATACTTAACCCTATCTGGTATGTATTTATGAGTTATATCTTCACTTGCATTACTTTAAAAACTTACAAACGGAAATAGTGACCATATTTTATATCACATTATTTATTGATTACTTTTAATTTGGATTATTTTTCATATTTAAGCAAAATCTCTGTACACTTTTACATTGTTGAAATTGGAGTAGACTTGTAAATATGAAGCAACATTAAAGAAATGTGTAATTTATATGTATTGTTGTATCATATATCCATTGACACTGTTGATAAAAATGCATATTTAATTGATGCAAATCATTGCCAACATGAATTTTATAAATTTAATTTTGAAATTACACAAATACTGAAAACCGCATTTACAGTTTTACAAAAAAATATACACACACATGCACACACGCACACACCCACGCGCGCGCGCGCGCACTCACACACACACTCACACACATGCTATCATGGTACATATACATTCTGCATGAATTATATAACAGTTTAAATTCACCAACTGTAATTTTGTAGTATCTAACAAATCAAGTTCACTTCTAAACCTCAGGTTTAACTCTATACAATTATTAATTGATTCTTAGATTACACTTAAAACACAAAACAGGCTCATTTCTAGCACTGTTTGCCATTCTATACTACTTCAAGATGTATCTTCATAACTTTTATAAATTTCTCTTTTTTTCAAAGTGACTTTGTGATATTATTAAATAATCGTTTACCCCACCATGATTCCAAATCAAATGGTTTAAAGTCTGAAACAGCACAATTAAAATGAATATCTAATATGTAACTTTATAACAATGTTTACAAAAATTATCTTATTGTTTTGGTAATAAATAAATTATAAAAATGTATATAAGAATAACATTTATCTTTTAGTTAACATATTTACTAATATTTAATCACAAACACATACTAATTCTTTTACTGTATCACAATTATTTATCCTTTTTAAAAAAGCTAAGTACAAAAACTCACCTTGAAGGGTAACATTTGGTTCACCATCATTGTAATATACTATAGAGTTAGGACCTGAAATATAT